TTTGGCCAATGTTGAGCATAGTCTGTGCCATTGCTTGCTTTTGAAAAGCCTTTGACTGCAGCGCAGTTTTCAGCAAAGGATGGGGCAAAGGTTTTGGAGCGGACAGCGCCGCAACCAGCAAAGAGGGTGGCAGCAGTGGCTTGCCTGATAGAGCACAGACGTCATCGCATCTCAATATGTGCAGACCCTGGTGACGGGCTCAATGAGGTCGTCAAGGCTGAGGCAGCAGCTGGAATGAATGATGAGGAGCAAGCCGACTCAGCTGCCATTGCAGCAGCTTGACGTAAGATTATTTACAAAAAACCGGGATCTCGAGTTTACAGGTACAAATCCAAGTAGCTTCTGCGGGAATTTCAGTTTTCAACACTTAGCCCCAAGTTTCTTTTCCTGCAGTGGTTATGCAAATAACGACCTAAGGTTGCAGTAGCCGCTTCCGCAGCCAAGCGGGTAGAAAGTGCCGAAGGCGAAGCCGAGATCTTCCACCAGACAGCTCCTTGCATGGAATTCCTGATTAGCAGCGGCCTCCAGGATCTTCAAGGTTGCTCAAGATTTCGGAGTGTTAATGATCAGGGGCTTGCACGGGAAGTTGGAGGGAGTGAGGCACGCGTTCCTGGTTTGACTCGCGACTCTCTGTTGCGTTCCAGGTCACAGCTGCTGTCAAGGTGCCTCAGATGCGATTCGCACAGGGTTTCTTGTTGTTTCATCCTGGGTGCTACTTGCAGAATGCCCATTCCTTCGCCTGAGCTGTATCGTTGAGACTTTGTTTGAACTTCTTTTGGTTGCTTGCGGGTAAGGGGTCATGGGGGAGGATGGGGTGGCGGATGGGGGAGCGGTGTTGGGAGGAAGGCCCCAGCCATTTACAAATCATGATGATGAAAAAATGATAGAACATCGTGAAAGATGATAGAAGATTTTGGAAAATCATGAAATATGAGCAATTATCAGTAGAATGATAGAAAATGACAAGGTGATGAATCGTGATGAACTGCGCTGAAAGTGCTCAAGCATGTTGCAATTTGATGAACCAATTGCAATGTGATGAACGAATGATGACGCATGATGAACATGAGGCAAATTGATGAAAGACAATGAGATATGATGAAAAGTGTTGGAGAATCATGAGAAATCGTAGGAAGTGAGAATTATGAAAAATGACATTATTGTATAATGTCGGACGCTGTTTATTGTTGAGGTCCCCTATA